AAAGAGGAACAAGAGTTATCAAAGGGGCCTAACTTAACTTTTTTTTGGAACCACTCTGGAGTTTGCCTAATTGGTGACATTGCTGGTTTGATGATATTCCTCCTCACTCTGGTTTTCTTTTCCATCTGAACCCCCTACAGCTATCAATGGGCATGTTGGGTTTTGGCTTCATTATCACTTACATTCCGGAGGCTGCAATCAGTGCTTACCTGGCTGCCACGGCACTACACATCATGCTGTCCCAGTTGACCTGCATCTTCGGGATTATGATTAGTTTCCATTCTGGTCCCATCTCCTTCTTCTATGTGAGTAATTTCTACCCTCACCTAGACTTACAAATGCCCCTCCCCTTGCCTCCAAAAAAGTAGACCCAGGTGGAGAGACTCCTGCATAGGCAGCTGGGTCAAGAGAGTCCTAGAAATAATTTCACCTCTTCTAGATTTACAGTCTTGATTAATTGCAGATGCCAGTTGGACCATGTTCCCAGTTGCATTAACCATTTCACCCCAGCCTTTTAAACCAACATGATTTATATTAAAATTTGGTCTTTGAGATACTGTATTATCATACTTCTTCCCGTTACATGCCTCCTGAAAGACATATATCCTAAAACATAATATATACAGAATATAAAATGCAAAGTAGTCCCTGAATGCAAGCATGGCCTAGGAGCCAAGCTAAACATACATGGTCTGGGAAAATTGATAAAGAATAGGCTAATAAACAGAACTCCTGGGTCCTTTTCACTACACTGAAGCATAGAAAGTATATTATCTTCTTACTGGACATTATAGTCTTTTAATATATTGTTTTCAATTAAAAAATATGTATCCACCTACTTGCTCTCACTGTTCTAGTAATGCTCATAAAGACCTCTGTGCCCAGCAACACTGCCTAGGGACTTCCTTTTGAACTAATTTAGAAAGAGTGTCATTTTCTAGATTTAGGCAATTATTACATCCCTTTCTAAGCCTCTGTAATTTTTTTCTTTCAGAACATAATTAACTACTGTATAGGTCTCCCCAAAGCTAATTCCACCAGCATCTTACTATTTCTAACTGCTATTGTTGCTCTGAGAATCAACAAATGTATCAGAATTTCCTACAATCAGTACCCCATCAAGTTTCCCATGGAAATTTTTCTGGTAGGTGTTTTCATTTTGTTTTGTTTTGTTTTGCTTTTTATTGGAGTATAGTTGCTTTACAATGTTGTGTTAGTTTCTGCTGTACAGCAAAATGAATCAGTTATACATATACATATATCCCCTCTTTTTTAGATTTCCTTCCCATTTAGGTCACAACAGAGCACTGAGTAGAGTTCCCTGTGCTATACAGTAAGTTTTCATTAGTTGTCTATTTTATACATAGTAGTGTATATGTCAATCCCAATCTCCCAATTCATCCCATCCCCCTTCCCCCGTTGGTATCCATAAGTTTTTTCTCTACATCAGTGTCTATTTCTGCTTTGAAAACTGGTTCATCTGTATCATTTTTCTGTATTCCACATATATGTGTTAATATACCATATTTATTTTTCTCTTTCTGACTTACTTCACTCTGTATGACAGTCTCTAGGTCTATCCACGTCTCTGCAAATGGCATTATTTCATTCCTTTTTATGGCTGAGTAATATTCCATTGTATATAGGTACCACATCTTCTTTATCCATTCCTCTGTGGATGGACATTTAGGTTGCTTCCATGTCCTGGCTATTGTAAATAGTGCTGTAATGAACATTGGGGTATATGTATCTTTTTGAATTATGATTTTCTCCCAGTATATGCCCAGGAGTGGGATTGCTGGGTCATATGGTAATTCTATTTTTAGTTTGTTTGTTTGTTTGTTTGTTTTTAGTTTTAGTTTTTTGAGGAACCTTCATACTGTTCTCCATAGTGGTTGTACCAGTTTACATTCCCACCAACAGTGTAGGAGGGTTCCCTTTTCTCCACATCCTCTCCAGCATTTATCATTTGTAGATTTTTTGATGATGGCCATTCTGACCAGTGTGAGGTGATACCTCACTGTAGTTTTGATTTGCATTTCTCTAATGATTAGTGACGTTGAGCATGTTTTCATGTGTTTGTTGGCCATTTGTATGTCTTCTTTGGAGAAATGTCTATTTAGGTCTTCTGCCCATTGTTTTCCTTGAGTTGCTTTTTTTTTGATATTGAGCTGCATGAGCTGTTTGTATATTTTGGAGATTAATCCCTTGATGGTTGCTTTGTTTGCAAATATTTTCTCCCATCCTCTTGGTTGTCTTTTTGTTTTATTTATCGTTTCCTTTGCTGTGCAAAAGCTTTTAAGTTTCATTAGGTCCCATTTGTTTATTTTTGTTTTTATTTTCATTACTCTAGGAGGTGGGTCAAAAAATCTTGCAGCAATTTATGTCAAATTGTGTTTTGACATAATTTGACATTTGACAAATATGTCAAAGAGTGTTCTGCCTATATTTTCCTCTAAGAGTTTTATAGTGTCCAGCCTTACATTTAGGTCTTTAATCCATTTTGAGTTTATTTTTGTGTATGGTGTTAGGGAGTATTCTAATGTCATGCTTTTACATGTAGCTGTCCAGTTTTTCCAGCACCACTTATTGAAGACACTGTCTTTTCTCTATTGTATATTCTTGCCTGGTTTGTCATAGATTAGGGGGTTTATCTCTGGGCTTTCTATCCTGTTCCATTGATCTATATTTCTGTTTTTGTGCCAGTACCATATTGTCTTGATTACTGTAGCTTTGTAGTATAGTCTGAAGTCAGGGAGTCTAATTCCTCCAGCTCCGATTTTTTCCCTCAAGATTGCTTTGGCTATTTGGGGTCTTTAGTGTTTCCATACAAATTGTAAAATTTTTTGTTCTAATTCTGGAAAATTGCCATCGGTAATTTGATAGGGATTGCATTGAACGTGTAGATTGCTTTGGGTAGTATAGTCATTTTCACAGTATTGATCCTTCCAATCCAAGAACATAGTATGTTTCTCCATCCGTTAGTGTTGTCTTTGATTTCTTTAATCAGTATCCTATAGTTTTCTGAGTACAGGTCTTTTGTCTCCTTAGGTAGGTTTATTCCTAGGTATTATTATTTTTGTTGTGGTGGTAAGTGGGATTGTTTCCTTAATTTCTCTTTCTGACCTTTCATTGTTAGTATATAGGAATGCAAGAGATTTCTGTGTATTGATTTTGTATCCTATAATTTTACCAGATTCACTGATAAGTTCTAGTAGTTTTCTGGTGGCCTCTTGAGGATTTTCTGTGTATAGTATCAAGTCATCTGCAAAGAGTGACAGTTTTACTTCTTCTTTTCCCACTTGGATTCCTTTTATTTCTTTTTCTTCTCTGATTGCCGTGGCCAGGACTTCCAAAACTATGTTGAATAATAGTGGCGAGAGTGGCCATCCTTATCTTGTTCCTGATCTTAGAGGAAATGCTTTCAGTTTTTCACCATTGAGAGTGATGTTAGCTGTGCACTTGTCATACATGGCCTTTATTATGTTGAGGTAGGTTCCCTCTATGCCCACTTTCTGGAGAGTTTTTATCATAACTGGGTGTTGAATTTTGTCAAAAGCTTTTTCTGCATCTATTGAGATGATCATGTGGTTTTTATTCTTCAGTTTGTAATGTGGTGTATCACATTGATTGATTTGTGTATATTGAAGAATCCTTACATCCCTGGGATAAATCTGACTTGATCATGGTGTATGATCCTTTTAATGTGCTGTTGGATTCTGTTTGCTTGTATTTTGTTGAAGATTTTTGCATCTATGTTCATCAGTGATATTGGCCTGCAATTTTCTTTTTTTGTGATATCTTTGTCTGGTTTTGGTATCAGGGTGATGATGGCCTCATAGAATGAGCTTGGGAGTGTTCCTCCCTCTTCAAGTTTTTTGGAAAAGTTTGAGAAGGATAGGTGTTAGCTTTTCTCTAAATGCTTGATAGAATTCACCTGTGAAGCCATCTGGTCCTGGACTTTTATTTGTTGGAGGATTTTTAATCACAGTTTCAATTTCATTACTTGTGATTGGTCTGTTCATATTTTCTATTTCTTCCTGGTTCAGTCTTGGAAGGTTATACCTTTCTAAGAATTTGTCCATTTCTTCCAGGTTGTCCATTTTATTGGCATAGAGTTGCTTGTAGTAGTCCCTTATGATCCTTTGTATTTCTGCAGTGTCAGTTGTTACTTTTCCTTTTTCATTTCTAATTTTTATTGATTTGAGTCCTCTCCCTTTTTTTCTTGATGTGTCTGGCTAATGGTTTATCAATTTTGTTGATCTTCTCAAAGAACCAGCTTTTTTTTTTTTTTTTTTTTGCGGTATGCGGGCCTCTCACTGTTGTGTCCTCTCCCACTGCGGAGCACAGTCTCTGGACACGCAGGCTTAGTGGCCATGACTCACAGGCCCAGCTGCTCCGTGGCACGTGGGATCCTCCTGGACTGGGGCACGAATCCATGTCCCCTGCATCGGCAGGCGGACTCTCAACCACTGCGCCACCAGGGAAGCCCAGAACCAGCTTTTAGTTTCATTGATCTTTGCTATAGTTTTCTTCATTTCTATTTCATTTATTTCTGCTCTGATCTTTATGATTTCTTTCCTTCTACTAACTTTGGGTTTTGTTTATTCCTCTTTCTCTAGTTCCTTTAGGTGCAGGATTAGATTGTTTATTTGAGATTTTTCTTGTTTCTTGAGGTAGTATTGTATTACTATAAACTTCCCTCTTAGAATTTCTTTTGCTGCATCCCATATGTTTTGGGTCATCGTGTTTTCATTGTCATTTTTTTCTAGGTATTTTTTGATTTCCTCTTTGACTTCTTCCATGATCCATTGGTTATTTAGTAGCATATTGTTTAGCCTCCATGTGTTTGTGTTCTTTACAGTTTTTTTTCCATAATTGATTTCTAATCTCATAGCATTGTGGTTGGAAAAGGTGGTTGATATGATTTCAATTTTCTTAAATTTACTGAGGCTTGATTTGTGACTCAAGATGTGATCTATCCTAGAGAATGTTCCGTGTACACTTGAGAAGAAAGTATATTCTGCTGCTTTTGGATGGAATGTTCTATAAATATCAATTAAGTCTGTCTGGTCTAATGTGTCATTTAAGGCTTTTGTTTCCTTATTAATTTTCTATCTGGATGATCTGTCTTTTGTTGTAAGTGGGATGTTTCTGGTAAGTGTTTTGATACTCCAAACTCATGGTTCAGATCATTTAAAATACGTATTTTTTAAATTAAATTAAAAGCAAGTAACCTCGGAAGGGAAATGTTCATAGGAGAATTGTAAAAATAATATTTTAAAAATGTATGTTGAGGGCTTCCCTGGTGGTGCAGTGGTTGAGAGTCCGCTTGCCGATGCAGGGGAAATGGGTTCGTGCCCTGGTCCGGGAAGATCCCACGTGCTGCGGAATGGCTGGGCCCGTGAGCCATGGCCGCTGAGCCTGCGCGTCCGGAGCCTGTGTTCCACAACGGGAGAGGCCTCAAGAGTGAGAGGCCCGCATACCGCAAAAAAAAAAAAAAATGTATGTTGAATTGTGACAAAGCTGAATACATACATTTAGTTAGCTTATATTTTTTTAAACATGCTTATTTTTCAAAGACTTTTATCTATTGCCTCTTTTTCATACTATTTGAAAAATAGTGTGTTTTTTTTTTTCCTTTATGACAGTAATACAGGCTCATTCTAGCAGGTTTTTTTTTGGCCATGCCACGTGGCTTGTGGGATCTTAGTTCCCTGACTAGGAATCAAACCCAGGCCCCCAGCAATGGAAGCATGGCGTCCTAACCACTGGACCGCCAGGAATTCTAGCAATTTTGAAAAACAGAAAGAAAAAAAAAAAGGAGGAAAAGAAATTCCTATAGCTGCTCTATCCAAAGTCAACTACAATTGATATTCCTGTACTTTCAGTTATTCTCACCTTTCCTCTTTCAAACAAATACATGACAGGCCTATGCTCAGTGTTGATGAATTTCTGTATTCTTTTATGTAGAGGTTTCATTTCTATTTTAGTATAGCAGCAACCACACTGTTATTCAGCCTCCTTTCATTCTCCCTATGCTACAGTAAAGAAATTGAGGGAGATGAGATGTTAAATGAAAACTAATCCATGTCACTAAGTGGCAGAGCTGGGTTCGGGGAGGAGGGGCTGCTGGGGAAGGTGTGTGTTCATGTATATGTCCTAGGTTTTTGTTTTTTATTTTTTTTAATATTTTATTTATTTATTTATTATTTTGTGTGTGTGTGTGTGTGTGTGTGTGTGTGTGTGTGTGTGTGCTACACGGGCCTCTCACTGTTGTGGCCTCTCCCGTTGCAGAGCACAGGCTCAGGACGCGCAGGCTCAGCGGCCATGGCTCACGGGCCCAGTCGCTCCGCGGCATGTGGGTTCTTCCCGGACCGGGGCACAAACCCGTGTCCCCTGCATCGGCAGGCGGACTCTCAACTACTGCGCCACCAGGGAAGCCCCTGTCCTAGGTTTTTTTAACATCTTTTTCTTTAGATCAGGGGAAATGTTAAACTAAATAAATATGATTGTTTTCTTTCTTTTTGAGAATGTTAAAAAAATGTTGTCTAAAGATGACATTTCTTGTTTGTTTTAAGAAATCTGGGGGAATTCCCTGGTGGTCCACTGGTTAGGACTCCACGCTTTCACTGAGGAGGGCGTGGGTTCAATCCCTGGTCCAGGGAACTAAGATCCCACAAGCCACAAAGCGCGGCCAAAAAAGAAGAAGAAAAAGAAAAAGAAATCTGATAAAATTTATCTTTTGCAGTTAACATTTTTATAATACTAAAGAGATTTTCATAAATAAAGCTCAGGTTTTTGGAGTCAGCATTTCTCTTACAAGGATCAATAAATCTTTGGGTGTCCATGAGCATTATTTTCCCTTTAAGAAGTGTTCTGTGATAGAGATAATTAAAGTTCACTGTGTGCACCCCTATATTTCCCAGCTGCCCTTATAGTTAGGCGGGACCATGCAACTTTGGGGCTAAAGCATAGGCGAATAGGCATGAGTTCCCAATGTTCCTTCTTCCCCTGCTGTAGTAATCATAGGGGCTATATGTTGAGGTGATAGAGTCTCCAGGAAGAATTAGCCTGGATCCCCAAGGCACTATTTGCAAAGAAGCTGTCCTGAAGAGACACTGACCCACAGTGGATTTTGTGTGGGTAAAAAAATAACTTTCAAGTGCTAGGACACTAAGATCTCATGGTTGGTATACTGCCACAGTATAACATATTCTATGCTAACTAATCCAGATCCATACTCTTCATGATTGAAAGAGTATAGGAATTGCTTTGGAAACTGAGACCAAGCTCTGTCTTATAACTGTTGTCTACTTCTTGTGGAGGTGCATATCCTTTCTTCCTTGGAGTAGTTAAAAAGCTATCAATTCATAAAGGCCGAAAGCTAAATGGCTGCTTTTACAAAAGGCCTTCCAAAACACTGTATACAAATAGTGGGGCCCTAGAACCCAGGGAACAATGTGCATATGGAGTTTGGGGAGTGGAGTCAGAGGCAACCTCTCCTTCTCTTGGAACCAAGTACAACTCTGGCTTTTAGGAAGCTGAGGCTTTGGAGTCACCAGCAGATGGCATCTGTGACAGAGACATCAGCGCACTCTCTCTGTTTCTATCTCTGTTTCTGTGTCTCTCTTTTTTTTCTTTTTCTTTTTCTTTTTTTTTTGCGGTACGTGGGCCTCTCAATGTTGTGGCCTCTCCCATTGCGGAGCACAGGCTCCAGACGCGCAGGCTCAGCAGCCATGGCTCACGGGCCCAGCTGCTCCACGGCATGTGGGATCTTCCCGGACCGGGGCACGAACCCATGTCCCCTGCATTGGCAGGCGGACTCTCAACCACTGCGCCACCAGGGAAGCCCATCTGTGTCTCTCTTTGATTCCAGCTTTATTCAGGTATAAAATTATAAGATATTTAAAGTGTGCATCATGATGATTTGATACAGATATAGATTGTGAAAGGATTTCCCCCATCTAGTTAACACATCCATACCCCATACATTTATCTTTTTTTTTTTTTTTTTTGGTGAGAACATTTAAGTTCTGCTCTCTTAGCTATTTTTAAGTATATAATAAAATGTTATCAACTATAGTCACCATGTTTTGTTTTGTTTTTTTAATAAATTTATTTATTTATTTTTGGCTGTGTTGGGTGTTTGTTGCTGCTTGCGGGCTTTCTCTAGTTATGGTGAGCGGGAGCTACTCTTCGTTGTGGTGTGCGGGCTTCTCATTGCAGTGGCTTCTCTTGTTGCAGAGCACGAGCTCTAGGCATGTGGGCTTCAGTAGTTGTGGCGCACAGGCTTAGTTGCTCTGTAGCATGTGGGATCTTCCCGGACCAGGGCTCAAACCCGCGTCCCCTGCATTGGCAGGCGGATTCTTAACCACTGTGCCACCAGGGAAGCCCTAGTCACCATGTTTTACGTTAGATCCTCAGACCTTATTCATCTTGTAGCTGAAAGTTTGCACTGTTTTACCAACCTTTCTCAATCCCCCCATCCCTCAGTCCCTGGAAACCACTTTTCTACTCTCTGTTTCTATGAGCGTGACTGTTTTCTTTTTTGTTTTAGATTCCACGTATAAGTGATACCATGCAGTATTTGTCTTTCTCTGTCTAGCTTATTTCACTTAGCATAATGCCCTCAAGGTCCATCCATGTTGTCACAAATCAACCCTCTTTTAAGAGACATCAGCAGCAGGGATCATAGTGATGTTCCTTTAAGCAACCTCAAAGGCAATAACATTAACCTGGGTTATTAGGAAAGGAGAGGAGTAAGAGTATAGAGGATGCTGTGGGTTGACTATGGCTGACAGATTGGTTTGTGAGCCATAGTTAAGACATTCCTTTGAGGAATGCTATAAATAATTAGGATGCACCATGAAGTGAAGTGGAGAAATAAACTGAGGTCCAGCAACAAATGTAGGTGGAGGCTTAGAATTATTGCAAATTAGACATTAAACTTTTTTGTGACCTGATTTATCCTCAAAGGTTATTGAAGCCTGCAATACACTACTTATACACATGTCAAGTCAAGTGACTGGGAACATTTTCTACTATATAGCAGGGATTAGAGATGTAGTTTAGAATTGGAAAAAGACCTCCGTGTTTCCCTTGGAAATGAGGAAAGTAGGAGAGGGAGGATGACAGCTGCTATGGTGTAGCGGGTGAAAAGCTTTTCACAACACCCCATAAGAAACTACTGTGAAACTAAGATGTGCTGGAGTTGGGCTTCCCTGGTGGCACAGTGGTTAAGAATCCACCTGCCAATGCAGGGGACATGGGTTCAAGCCCTGGTTGGGGAAGGTTCCACATGCCGTGGAGCAACTAAGCCTGTGCACCACAACTACTGAGCCTGCGCTCTAGAGCCCGCGAGCCACAACTGCTGAGCCCACATGCCACAACTACTGAAGCCTGCGTGCCTAAAGCCTGTGCCCCACAACAAGAGAAGCCACCACAATGAGAAGCCTGCGCACCACAACAAAGAGTAGCCCCCGCTCGCTGCAACTAGAGAAAGCCTGCGTGCAGCAACGAAGACCCAACCCAGCCAAAAAAAAAAAAAAGGATGTGCTGGAGGAAACTGCACATACCCACCAATCTGTCCTTTAGATGATAGTCTCAAATATTAAGGGAGAATTTCAAGGCAATATTTGGGATCCAGGTAAAATAAACTGACAAATAATTCAAGAGTTTCATAGATATAAGAAATTGTACATACTGTATGTTCATAATTAATGTACGTGTATGTGTGTATTTGTATATGTGTATATTTAAGCCGTATAGCAAACACCAAAAAAAAGCATCAATAGTAGTTATCTTTGAGTGATTTATTTCTGCTTTTAAATTTTTCATATTTTCTCTATTTTCCTTAATGAGCAAGTGTAAACTTTATACTGGAAATGAAAGAGTTTCTTGGCCACTTGCCACACTTCTTGTCCCTTAACTATATAAAGATCACAACTTTTCTGTTGATCCAGATCTTCCTTCCATTCTGATCTGTAGGCTTCCTAGGGGTTGTCATCTGAACACAGCATCACAGGTAAACCAACTGCTATCCTGCTCAGTGTCTGGCTGAACTCTTAGAGTAGATGCTGGGAAAGGATTCATGTGTTAGTAGGGATAATGGGGTAAAGCAACTATATATTATTATTTTTAAATGGGCATTGAGTTCTCTTGTCTCTGCTTTAATTTGCTTTGGTGTGAGGTCTTTGTAAGGTGTAACAGCTGCTAGCTTGTCTGTTTTCCCTCTAACAGACATTAGAAATGGAAGGGAGACTTGGCATTTCAGAAGGAAATGAAAGGAGAAAAAAGAAAGCAAGTAATTGCTTCGCTGAAGCAATTTTTCGTGTGTGCTATCAAATGCTGCTCCATCTTATTAATGGTTATTAATGATTATCAATATACCTCAACAATCCCCCAGAGGGCTTACTTGTATTGGGACAGTGTACCTAGATTTTAAAACTTTTAAAACTGAGGCCTTGGTTACAGCTATTATCTGAAAACATGTTTATACTTGATCCAGATATTTAAAGTTGGTGAGGAAAGAGAAGTCTAGGGCAACCATTTTTTCCTATTACTGTCAGAGACCAAGTTGTTTTTCATTCTGGTTACAGTGCTAAAAAGAGTTCAGGGAACCAGAAGTGTTGGGGAGGACTTCTGCCTTTGTTGTTCCACTGAACTGGCACTGCCTCTTTCTCCAACCTTCATGTATAGGGACTGCCATGTATTGCATTCCCTGTGCTGCCAGAGGCTATGGGCACCTCTGCTCTTGGAAGCAATGCATAATATTTAGATGATCACATGCCTTTTCTTTTTAAACCCCTACAGATTCTTGGGTTTGCTGCATTTGCAAACAAGGTAAACGTGGACACAGAAAACAGCAAGATGCTCATTGATATGATTCCTTATAGGTTGGTAATTCCACTTTTCAAGACTACTTTTCCCTTCCTGTTAAATCCTCTTAGCCTCTGACTACATAGCCTGTTTGGTATCATTGACCAAAACAGAGTGCCAGTTAGTTCTCCAGCAAGGATGGGTTTATTCGGGATCGGCAAAGAATTGCAATTTGGGGTCTGCAACCATGGTGAGTCACATGCAAGTCCTCCCACAGCAAGGGAAGAAGTTTTTATAAAGGAAAAAATAAAATTGGAGTGGGGGGAGCTATGGTAAACAAAAAGTCTATGGCTTTTCATTGGCTGAGTCCTTTGCCAGGAAAGAAGAGTCTTTCTTCTTCCTGTTGGGCTCTGCAATGGTCACAGGGTGTGAGAACTCCCCGTTTTGGTCTCCCAACTCTACTTAATTATTTTCTGTTTATTAATTTTTTTTAAAACAATATTCTCTGCTAACAGTCTCTGGCCACAGCCAAATCTGGGTCATGGGCTCAAGTTCATTTTAGAACACAGAGGTTCTAAAGGACAAGGGCTAGGACAACCCTGTCCTTCTCTGGTCAGCCTTTGACTCTCTTCCCATGGTTGAGCCAATCCCCTTACCCAAGTAAACTGCTTGGATGCACTGAATACCAGAGAGACTCATGCATCTTTCTCACAGCACATTATGAACCTTCTCAACCTCCATACCTGTCTGATTAACTCTCAAGGATGGGACAAGAGATACCTCTGTTTTCCTAGCCTCTCTCTGGGCTTCAGTGCTCAGGAGGTGAGCATTCCTTCTGTCTTCACCTACTTAGACTGAATGGGTGTCCTTGAGCAACATTACTTCATCACTCTGAGTAGAAAGCCTTCTTCAAGTAGTCTGGCATATGGAGTTCTTAAGGACTTGCAATTAATTTACATTATGATTCCTACCAGTGACTATGGGGCATCATTCTTGCTTCTGTTAGGGAATTATAGTTTCTTTAACCTTGACCAGATGAATCACTTTAGCTAAGAAAGGCCGCATACCACAGTTTCTTGGCTCATGAGAAGGCTTTTGAAGAGCATTGTTTATTTCCTCATGTTCTTCAATAGGGAATACAGCAAAGAGTCAATGATATTGGCTAGCCCCCAGCATACAAAACAGAGGCTACTTTGATGCAACCAGATTGAATTAATCTCATATCCTACCAGTTCTCAGTGAAATCTAATGATGATTAAATACATTTGAAATTCTGTTCACTTTTTTTAAACTGTGAGCAGGCAACCTAAGTACCAGGGAATACAATGGCAAATAAGACTTGGTCTCTGCCCTCAGGAAAAAAAAATGACAAGGGCAACAATGGGATTGATGCTTTATGTAATTATTTTATGTCATTTGTTCCTCACAGTAATACTATAAGGAAGATATTATCTTCTTTTTATGGCTCAGGAAACTAAGGGTTACCAAGTTTAAATTCCTTATCCGAGCTCACACAGCTGGTCAGTGTCAGAGCTACTATTTGAGCCCATTTCTATTTAATTCCAAAATCTAGTATAATAACCCCTCTATTATACTTAATATGCTTCTGTTATTAATGACTTAAAAAGCACACAATTAACCTTTGCTTATATTTCATCATAAGATTCAAGGGTATAGGTAGAGAAACAAACATTTCAAAAATCTAATTTTAGGTATTGCTTTGAACTCCCTTTTTATTACCTGCTTATCCACAGTTGCCAGGGACTAGAAAAACTGAACAATTTAGGTTAGTTCCTTCCACGTCCATGTCCCCTTTTAACTAAATTGCTGACAAAGAATTGAATGTTACAGAAAACATCAGGAAGGAAAAAAACAGTAGTTTATGCTATTATCATACTAAATATTTAAGGTTTACCTACATAGATTTGGGCAATAAATTCATGAAAATTAAAATCTTTTGTGCATCAAGAGACACTTTCAACAGAGAAAAAAGACAATTCACAGAATAGGAGAAAATATTTGCAAATCATATATGCTAAGGGATTAACATCCAAAATATGTAGAGAACTCCTAAAACACAACAACAAAAAACCAACAACCTGACTCAAAAAGTGGAGAAAGGACTTGAAAAGACATTTTTCCAAGGATGATACACAAATGGCCAGTAAACACATAACATGCTCAACATCACTAATCATTTGGGAAATGCAAATCAAAACTACAATAATTCAATAGATACCACCTCACACTCATTAGTATGACTACTATTTTTTTTTAAAAAAAGACGAAAATAACAAGTGTTGGTGAGGATGTGGAGAAAATGGAACACTTGTGCACTGTTAGTGGGAATGTAAAATGTACAGCCACTGTGGAAAGTAGTATGCTGATTCCTCAAAAAATTAAAAATAGAATTGCCAAATGATCCAGCAATTCTACTTCTGGATATATACCGCCCAAAGTTAAAAGAAGTGTCTTGAAGAGATATTTGTGCACCTATGTTCATAGCAGCATTACTCACAATAGCTGAAATGTGGAAGAAACAATGTGTCCATCGACGGATGAATGGTTAAGCAAAATGTGTTATATACATACAATAGAATATTTTTTGACAGTAAGAATATAGTTTTATTTATAGAATTAATAAAAGGAATATACCACACAAGTATTTTACACACAAAACACCTTAGACACAAAGATACGGAAATGAATTTTTACAGTTTATTCACATTGAGTCTAGAATACTAGGTGACCCATTGTCACCTTTAAAAAACAGAATCTTGTCACATCTCTTGAATACAAATTAAACAGCTCAGACTGAGTTGGTCGAGGTCACATAGAATCTGGAACTCACTTTAGTCTGTGCCTTTACCCTAACTCTGGAAGCTGCTACACTCATGACAGAATAATTCAGTGGGTGGTGACTCAGACAAAACAAACACCAAACAGACTCTCCTTCACAGCATGGCAGGTGTGAGGGAAAGATAAACTTTAAACAAAGCTGTATTTATCTCGCAACAATGCCCCAACTGGAGCACTTTTTTTTTTTCTATAGACAGATACTCCGAACACAATTTTTCTGCTGCTCAAGAACCTTCAATGGCTCCCTAGTGCCTATGAACTCACAATGGCAGCAGGTTAAGACTGGACTTTTCTTGTTTGTGACTAGCCCCAGTGGCTTAGCTGAAATTGTCTAAGATTTGATTGGAATTCAGTATTAATTGTGAAATGGGAGAGAGAGACTGAAGGCTTCATAACAGTTCTGGAATGTGCTTAATTTGGGCACTGAAAATCCAAATATTTTAGCATTCAACTCCCCTCATACAATAGAATATTATTCATCCTTAAAAAGGAAGGAAATTCTGACATATACTACAACATCGATGAACCTTGAGGACATTATGCTAAGTGAAATAAGCCAGTCAGAGAAAGACAATTACTATATGATTCCACTTATCTGAGGTACTTAGTAGTCAAAATCACCAAGACAGAAAGTAAAATGGTGGTTGTCAGAGCTAGGGGGAGGGAGAAATGGAGAGTTATTGATTAATAGTTATAGAGTTTCAGTTTTACAAGATGAAGGAGTTATGGAGTAGATGGTGGTGATGGTTGCACATTATGAATGTATTTAATACCACTGAACAGTACATTTAAAAATGGCTAAGATGGTAAATCATGTTATGTGTATTTTACCCAATTAAAATAATTGGGAAAAAAAGGTGTGGATAAGAATCAGAAGCAATTTTTACAAAGGACAATGACTAAAATTATACCCTAAAAGATTTGAGTTTGACTAGAAGGGAATACATTGAGCTTTTTAGCTCTAAACCATCTTAGATATGATATATGCCTGTTGGTTACCCACTGGTATGGTCTCAAACAGTGTGAATAAACTATTTTTCATCGATTTTTGTAGTTTCGCCTGTCCTATCTGTTGCCATTGGTACATGGCAGAAACCTTGAACTAGAAGATAGCAGAGCATGTTCTCTTAATGGCTTTAGTAACCTGGCTTGATTTGCTGGCAGTTTTGGCAAGCTGCTGCCTGAGTTGCTCTTCTTATCTCTTATTTTTATTTTTTTAAAAAGGGTCAGACCCTTTGAAATGGATGATAAAGTACGATAAGGTTGGAGTGGGGGAGACGCCAATAAATGATTCCTGCTATCTAGGAATAATTCCACCATTTTATTCCAGCTTCCTGTTTCCTGTAACGCCAGATATGAGCAATCTTACTGAAGTTCTTTTAGAAGCGTTCTCCTTAGCTTTAGTGAGCTCCTCTCTGCTCATATTTCTGGGCAGGAAGATTGCCAGTTTCCATAACTATGATGTCAATTCCAACCAGGTGAGAGGACAGGCCTTTCTATTACTTTCTGTGACCCTTTAATCTTTGTTCTCTAACCTTAGCCTGCAGTTAAAATGAAGACTGGATTCTTCTGTAACCAGAGAGTCACTTGGGCCATGATTTGAATTACAATTACCAAAGGATGTTTTAAAAATTTATTTTTAATTATTTATTTATTTTTGGCTGCGTTGGGTCTTCGTTGCTGTGTGGGGGCTTTCTCTAGTTGAGGCGAGTGGGGGCTACTCTTCGTTGTGGTGCGCGGGCTTCTCACTGTGGTGGCTTCTTTTGTTGTGGAGCACAGGCTCTAGGCATGCAGGCTTCAGTAGTTGTGGTACGTGGGCTCTAGAGCAGAGGCTCAGTAGTTATGGCACACGGGCTTAGTTGTTCCACGGCCTGCGGGATCTTCCCGGACCAGGGCTCGAACCTGTGTCCCCTGCATTGGCAGGTGGATTCTTAACCACTGCACCACGAGGGAAGTCCTACCAAAGGATTTTTGAGAAGTGTGACCTACTTAACTCTGAAGCCACTTGAATTAATGTGTGTGGTTACTGTAGAACAGATATGGTGTAGGGAGGCAAGAAGGTAATGTATGACATCATGTTGTTAAGCTAGCAGAGTTCCTCTCCTCCCCTTTTATCTTCCTTTCCACCAAGTCCTTAAAAGTCAACCACATACCAAAGCACAATAAGAAATGCAGTAGAGGGACTTCCCTCGTGGTCCAGTAGCTGACTCCGCTCTCCCAATGCGGGGGGCTCCGAGTTCCATCTCTGACCAGGGAACTAGAACCCACGTGCCACAACTAAGAGTTCGCATGCCGCAACTAAAGAAATCCCACATTCCACAACGAAGACCCAGTGCAGCCAAATAAATAAATAAATATTTCTTAAAAAGAAATGCAGTGGAATATCAAAACTAGGCTAATAATACAATTAAGTTGGCCTCCCAGAAATAGTCCTTGTCATTTTCTTTTTTTTAGTCTCCGACCATTTTGAGTTTGGCTTTTTCCCTAGAAATTAAAAAGGGAATATGGGGACTTCCCTGGCGGTCCAGTGATTAGAACTCGGTGCTTTCACTGCCGTGGCCCCAAGGTTCAATCCCTGGTCGGGGAACTAAGATCCTGCAAGCCGCTTGGCACGGCCTGGTGGCCTAATGGTTAGGATTCCGGGCTTTCACTGCCTGGCCTGGGTTCAATCGGTGTCCCACTTTGACTTTAGGATAGTATAGAAGGAAGCAAGAAAAATAGTACTGTATTTCTCCCTGTCATCCTAATTCCCAGCAATCATGCGGAAGAGAATAACAAGGCAAATGTCTCATTTACTCACTTTGAAAAAGGACTTTCCTTATGATCTCTAGCTAAAATGAAGAAATCAGATTTACCATCCTTCACTTCTTTCCAATAATATTTCAGTGTTATTTGAAGTGATGTAAACAACCCTATCTTCATGCATAAGAAATAACAGTATACCTTTAGTTCAAACTCAAATCAGCCTTCTTTGACAAACAGTGGGACTAAAGTATTTGCCATTTCTTTACAGGATTTAATAGCCATTGGCCTTTGCAATGTCGTCAGTTCATTTTTCAGATCTTATGTGTTTACTGGTGCTGTTGTCAGGACTATTATCCAGGATAAAGCTGGAGGAAGACAACAGGTATGTGAAATAGAATTTGATCTCTAATACAGAAAGACACTTAGGTCTATTCATATGTATATTCACAGAAGGGGATTATATTAGTTTAACTATGTTACTGTTTTAATGTGATGCTTGTTTGGGAAGAATTTGGATTTCATGCTTGGCTTATTTTTTGCTTAGATTTTGTCTTAAAAGCTATCTGTCAATGTGTAACTTGAAAGTCATTTTCTATAAAAATACTGTTCTGTTAAAGGCTTCTATATATTAGCCCACAAAAAGCTACTTTCCATGTAACATACCTAAAAGATAATATTTCAGATAAACCAACCATCACCTATTAACATTTTTTTCTATGGGGAGATATATTCTCAGCCCTTGTCTGGGAAAATAATAATATAACTCTCTCCTTCCTGACAGCAGAACTAGAAACTTTCCTGGCTTCCTCAAAGGGCATGACAAGAGGCTTTCATGATAGAGAATAAAGTCTTTGTCTAGGTGAGCTTAGGGAATTTATGACCATTCTACCTTTGTGTAAGAGAAAATTATCTAGGTCAGACCCTCTTCAGGTATCCTGAATTAGTAAACTAAATATATAGGGGTATGGAAGGGAAGAAGGAAAGGGAAACTGTTGGCAGAGAAGGCTCTAAAGGCAAGCTCTCTAATTGTAGGTAAGAGATTTTTTATTTATTTATTTATTTCATTTATTTATTTTTGACTGTGTTGAGTCTTCTTTGCTGCGCGTGGGCTTTCTCTAGTTGCGGCGAGCGGGGGCTACTCTTCGTTGTGGTGCGCGGGCTTCTCATTGAGATGGCTTCTGGTGTAGTGGAGCACGGACTCCAGGCGTGTGGGCTCAGTAGTTGTGGCTTGTGGGCTCTAGAGCGCAGGCTCAGTAGTTGTGGCTTGTGGGCTCTAGAGCGCAGGCTCAGTAGTTGTGGCGCACGGGCTTAATTGCTCCGCGGCATGTGGCATCTTCCTGGGCTAGGGCTCGAACCTGTGTCCCCTGCATTGGCAGGCAGATTCTTAAACACTGGGCCACCAGGGAAGCCCAGCAAGAGAGTTTTTAAGTCCAATGTTCATGAGTTTTAAACTGACTAGATAAAAGTTACAACTTGACAACATGAGAGATGTCCCATCTCAGTTATATAGCATGAATAAGTGTCAGAGAACTATCAGAATTGAACCTGGAGTAAGCCCATGGAACGAGTCCGGGGATCAGGAGGCACAGAAACAGTGACAGAAGTCAAAGACAAGCTTACGCCACAGCAGCACAGTAGGGAGGTATAGCCACGGTGAAGAAGTAAAATGTCAGAAGAATGGACACTGAATTTGAATGGGGAAAGATAAAGTGTCACAGTCCATGGGTAAATATAAGTGAAATATAAGGTGAAAGCTAATAAAAGTCAGAAGATTGGGCAGGGGTGAGAACATGGGTCTAGAGTAAGCCCATACCACATGATTTTATGTGGACTGAGTTTTTTTGTCATAGAGCTTCTGCCAGACACATTGGCCTTTAAGGTGTATGAAGCTGTTTTGCACTACTATTTGACCAAAAGAAGTAAGATGAGTTATGTTAAAAAGAAGGATGTTCAATGCAAGTGTGAAAAAATTTTGAAGTCAAAATGAGAGGATTTTATGGTAAGAAAAAGTGGAAATTTAGGACAATAGTTCCCACTGACTTGTGACCACACACTTTGTTTATTTAGTATACAAGCATAACAGATTTGAGGAGAAAAGATGCATGTGGTTGGAAAAAACTAAATCACGGTACAGATAAAATTAAGTGCAGAATAAATACAATAAATTTTAAAATGCCATAAATATTGCAAGAAGGAGAATGATGGATAAAGTGAGACTTTCATGGATCATTGCAAGAGGGTTAGGATATGTATAGATGGAGGGAGGGAAGAAGGGCTTCAGTTCAGCCTCAGAGTTGCCTTTAGCCTGTTGGACAAAGTGCCTGCTTCAAAGGTTGCCGATGGCTCTCATTCTGTTTTCTGCTATGGCATTGTTCTCCCCTACCAATGACATCTCTCTTTGTGGTACAGTGATCCTTCAAAGGGAAGTATGTCCCCAGGGATACTGGTAAGTCCTTCCCCAAGACCCTGACTTGCCCAGGGCAAATTGCTGGTTCAAGCAGAGAATGCCCCTGACCCTGGCCCTCCACATCGGAGCTACCCCACCTCCAATAAGTTTCTGATCTGGTCTCACTCAGCCTTCTTCATCCCATAGCAGGGGTTAGTCTCTCTACCCTTTTTCTCTGGGGACTTTTGATTCACTCTGCCTAAGAACACCCCCACTTTTTCAAAGCTCCTCAGGACTGCAGGAAAGAGAGGCTAGGGGGCTGGCTCTGAACCTCTCTGACATGACTTGCCACCAGGAGCCACTTATGTGTATATGTATTATGTATGTGTGTATGTATGTATGTCTGACATAAATACAAACTGTATAAAATGTGTCTGGATTTCACTTTAATTTCTTCCTGTCTAGAACCCACTTGTCTTTACTGGTTGTAGCAAAACCTATCAGCCCTTCCAGCCATGGCCTGGACCTGCTCATCCAGTTCTGACCACTATGCTTCCCTCTTCTCTATGACTGGGCTCCTTTCCTTGTTCTCTGCTTTCCAAGGACCAGCCTTCTTGCCTTGTCCCCAGGCTCCCAGAACTGCTTTTAAAAATGAGTTATTGGGCTTCCGTGGTGGCGCAGTGGTTGAGAGTCCGCCTGCCGATGCAGGGGACACGGGTTCGTGCCCCGGTCCGGGAAGATCCCACATGCCGCGGAGCAGCTAGGCCCGTGAGCCATGCCCGCTGAGCCTGCGCATCCGGAGCCAGTGCTCCGTGACGGGAGAGGCCACAACAGTGAGAGGCCCGCGTACCGCAAAAAAACAAAAAAATGAGTTATTATTTTAAGAAAGAAAAGAAAAAAATTATCAAAGAGAGAAATGAGCTGTGTTCTTTTTAGAGGAAGCAGATAGGGCAGTGGAGAGAGCCTGGATTTTGGAGTCAACTGGTCAGGTGGATTGAAACCTGACTCAATAGTTCTAGATGTGTGACCCTGGGCAAGTTACTTTCACTTTCTGAGGCTCTAGTCCTTATCTGTAAAATGGGGATAAGGATAACCTTTCAGTTGTGAGAATTAAACTGGATGACAATAGTGCCCACCATAGTGCATGTCACTTAAGATGTTCAAATATCAGAGCTTCCACCCCAGGTCCCTAGTGCCCTGGCTGGTCCATGGTAATGTACCGTCCGCTGCTTATGGAGCATTTGGTGTCTGAGGGTCTGCATGTCAGTAGTGGCTGTGTTTTATGCGACCTCAAATTGCCTTGAATCCCCAGAAAGAAGGTAGAGTCAGTCTTTGTTCAAGAAAGACTGAAAGAGTGATGGAAAATCAGAGCAGAAAAGCAAAACATGCATGAGATGTAAAGTTGTACATGCTCGTTGTCTCTAGACCCTGTTCAGGCACTGAGTCTGGGATTCTGAGAGCCATCAAGCATCCTCTTAAGGCACAGTGCCACCAAGGATGGCCCTCTGATCCCAAAGCCCAGTCCTTTGCGTGTGCAGCCATGGGGGACACACAATTATTGGCAGGCCTCCCTGAGCAGCAAGTTTTATGGGATTCAGTTTCTGGTTTGTGCTCATTTTAAACTAGGTTTATACAGCTAATTTTGGTGTCTGTATGTCTTTGCTTCCTCAAAAATAATCAGAAGAATTTTGGAGAAAGGAGTAGAAGGAAGGAAAAGTCCTGATATATTTTCCTGTGCTAATCAAAGCAGTTTCTTCTTATAGTGCAAGACTGCCTGAAGCTAGACTCTAAAACTCGATGCAGCAACAGGCTGATATGTACATTGGCTGGAGGAACTTATGGCTTCAGTTACCTTTTTTTAGTTCCACAGTGTATAAAATGTTTGCCATGAGAACTTCCTGAGGTTCAGTTACAGTGATCCATTCTGCTGACTCCTTCTCCCTTCACTCTTCTCTCAAGGTTCAACTTTTCCATCTTGGCTTGGTCCCATTAGCTGTGCATCAGTTGGGATGGGGAAAGAAGGAAGTAGGATGTTGATTTCATTGCGATTATTTTCGGCGATACATTTATATGGCAAATAGCAGTGAGTAGTGAGAGGGAATCCAGTAGGAAGTTATTTTTTTCACACCTAATAAAAAAAGAGAAAAAAAGTTAGAGAATCATTGCTGAGTGGTCATTTAATGGTTTAGATTTAAGGTTGCTTGTTCTTGCTTGTATATGCCATTGTTTTGATTTGTGGTTACATACAGTTTTATTCCCCCTCCACCCCCATCACAGTGGGAAATTATGCTGCTTTATATTATTTTTTCTTAGTAGGGGCTTAGACAATGGAAATTTATCAATAGAGGATATAATGAATTCAAGATTATGTCCAGAGAGCCTTGAGATTATAAAGGGAACTATGCTTCTTAGCTTTCTACCTGTATTTGCCCATCTGAATCACTGCTTACCAAGTAGTACTGAGCCCAGAGTAGTCAACCCAGGTGGGATAGGATCCAGAGCTCCTATATACAGCCCTGACTCATGTGCATAACCTTTTTTGATGGCAGTGAGGCAGAGGGAAACTGAAGTAGGAGAATCAGAAGTGAATGTCATGGTGTTTTTAAGACAAAGCACCACTGAAGCTGTTAGATGGGAAGTTATCCAGGCTCCAAAAGAGCGAGGTGGAATGGTTGGGATTTTAGGGCTGACAGTGATGACTCTACCAGGGCTTTTCTAAACTGTTCAAAGAAGGGTTAAATTTAGGATGAAATGCAGGCTGGATTTTAGGAGACTTCAGATTCATAGCACAAAGCTATGGCAAGAAAGATTCAGATATCCAAGACCATCTGGGACTTTTCAGAAAGCCTTCATACGTCCAATCAACAAGAATTTATTGAGTACCTAGTATGTGTTTAGCACTTTGACAGGACCTGAAAATGTCAGTTCACCAAAAATGCACTTATGCTGGATGGTTATACTCAACCCCTTTTAAGAAAAAAATGACATGCTTCTCACCAAGCAGAAGGCCTCAGTTGCAGACAGGGACAAATACATTCCTGATGGTCTCTCTCCAACTGGCTCTGTCTCCTCAGCTTGCATCTCTGGTAGGCGCAGGTGTGATGCTGCTCCTGATGGTGAAGGTGGGACGCTTTTTCTACAAACTGCCAAATGTAAGTAGAACTAATCAAATAGTTAAGTCAAGAAAGAATGGATCTCCAGATTACATCCTGGTGGGGCATCTCTGAGGAGAACTGCATTCAACTGATCCCCAGTGGTGGCCCCAGCCTATTTCTAGTTCCTTTTCTTTAAAATAACAGCCACTGCCTCACAGGATTGGGAGTTAAAGAAGATAATATGTATAATATAGAGAGAATGGTTTTGAGCTAATAATAAGCGCTCAAACAATTGTTATTCTTCTCATTCCCGTTAATCTTTTTTTTTTTTTTTTTTTTGCTTAAGCTATAAAGTAAGCTTTGGAAGTAAGGATTCAGTTAAACATGACCAAAATAGACTTCTGATGCCAGAACACCCAATACCACCACAGACTTGGAAGCTCATTGTGCATTCATGCCATCTGTTTTCCTAAATAGTTTCCAGAAGTCCTTGTTCTGCATTCATGTGAACTCAATCCCCCTACTGCTGCCACACTGCCTCTTGGTCAGTTCAGAACACTAAAGGCAGCATCTAAAAATTGAGTTTTAACTCTGTGTTCAGCTAGGATGCCTCTATATACTTATGTGCCATTTCTTCCCTTTGTGTGAGACGGATGACCTTACATTTAGAGATGCCAGGTGCATTAATTACTAGCTAAAATCGATTTGTTCTAAGTGACAATACAGATCAATGCCCAGTCATCATAATTTCCTTTTAAATTTCCTTAATGTTCCCTTTAGCCATTTTTAGATAGTACTAAGGGAGCGGGGAGGAGATTTTAGTCCTGGTGCAGCAGCTCGGTTACACACTGAGGTGGCAGCCCCTAAGCTGGAGTGGTTGTAAATATTATGCCCATCCCTTTGAATGCGTTTATTCCACCTGGTAAATATCAGGTTTCAGTAGAGCAGGACCATCTCAAGGCTGTTGCTGCCTTCTGCTCTTGTGATTCAGGGACCTTGGAAACCAGCCATGGAATATATGCATGGTGGGTGGGATTAAGCTTCTGTTTATCACACAAGCTGTCCTCTGATTCCCAGCAGAAGCCATCTACAGAATTTAGTTTATATAGCACCTTTGGTGCTATAACTCTTGGGAGTCTATTTTCGGAGGGCCACTCACTAATTTACTTTGAACAATGATATTTTTCCATTCTAGAAGAGTCAGAATTTTAAAAAATCTCAAATAAAAATCTGTCAGAATTCACTGAAGGGTAGTGACAAAAGTAGGTAAGCCCACCCTTACTATAAATATGTTGGGGATAGAACAGCCCTTGCTTTTGGCCAACCATGTTATATCATGTTATTTTTGTATCATCTAGTTAGGATGTTTCTGGGTGAGGAAATGTGAATACAATCTGATCAGTGGAATATCTGAATTTCTATAACACTGGAACTCTATGAGTATTAAACTACGAATGATTCCTTCCATCTTTGAACGACTGTGAATAGCTTGTTGCAAAATCCTTAGGAGAGTAATTGGTGGAACATCCTGGCTAGGATCTCAACTAGTTAGCAACAGAAACAACATAAATTTTTTAAAAACGTAATACAGGGACTTCCCTGGCAGTCCAGTTGTTAGGACTTCATCTTCCAGGGCCCGGGGTACAGGTTCGATCCCTGGTCAGAGAGCTAAGATCCCACATACCTCATGGCTAAAAAAACCAAAACATAAAACAGAACAAATATTGTAACAAATTCAGTAAAGATTTTTTTAAAAAGTCCTCATCAAAAAAAAATCTTTAAGAAAACCATAAATGCAAATACTATATTCAACATTGTTCCAATTTTGTGTGAAAAAATACATAGGCTATACCAAAATGTTAACAATGGTTATCTCTTGTATGATGGAAATTATATATAAATTCAATTCTTCTTTATACATGAGCACGTTTTATCTTAATATTAAGAAAGGTAAGGGCTTCCCTGGTGGCGCGGTGGTTGAGAGTCCGCCTGCCGATGCAGGGGACACGGGTTCGTGCCCCGGTCCGGGAGGATCCCACATGCCACGGAGCCGCTGGGCCCGTGAGCCACGGCCGCTGAGCCTGAGCGTCCAGAGCCTGTGCTCTGCAACGGGAGAGACCACAACAGTGAGAGACCCGCGTACCAGGAAAAAAAAAAAAAAAAAAGAAAGGTAAAAATTGTATTGTATATTATATCATGAAAAGATTTTTTTCCTCTTCATACTCCATACCTCAAGCCAAAAATCTGGTAAAAGCCCTATGAAGTTGAATTTCATATCTTTCCTATCATATCTCCCTGCAAATTGTGGAAATTTTGGGAGATTCTTGACGGGAAAGAAGGTGAAGATGGGAAACAAGTAATTTCTGCTGACTTCATCTTTGTTCTTCCCTCCTCTACTGACCTGTTAAGACCAAGTGGTCACTGAGTAACCTCAGAAAATAAGAGTAAGCTTGGATCCAATCCATTCCTGATGATAGGATCAGTTCTAATTCCCAGGCAGAGTATATACAAGAGAGGATGGCTAGGAAAAGGATGAGAAATGTTTCTTAAAGTAGGTTCGATTCTACTTTGAGGCCCTGATGATTTTACATCCCTATGAGTATCCATCTTCATTTTCTTACATTTAAGACACTTTCTTTCCCTTAAAAAGGGAGACATGCTTACTTTTAAAACTTTGGAAAATTCACAATAGATAAAAATCTATTTTTTAGATAGACTGGTTACACACTGAGGTGGCAGTCTCTGAAGCCTTAGTCACAAATAAACCACTATTAACATTTTGGCATATATCTAACCAATATTATCCTCTATAAATAGATAATACTTTACATAATTGTGATCTAACTGTACAATCTGGTATTCTTGTTTTAATTTAATATGTAGCATGATACTCCATACTATAACTTAATCATCTTAAATTAGGTTATCTGAATTTTTGTTATTATAAATAACACAACAGTGAGCAATTTTGTACATCTACCCTTTTCTATATTTAAGATAGATTTCTAAGAGTAAAACAAAATTTCTGTGTGAAAGCATATTAGCATTTCTTGGTATATTGCCAAATTATTTTCCAAAAGGGCAATACTCAACACCCATTTTTACGGGATGTCCTCAATGTTTTAAATTTGCTAATTTAATTTGATGGACAACAATTGGTATCTTATTGTTGAAATAATTGTAGTACATCATGATTAGACTTGAAAAAAGCCCAACTGAAACTATTTCAGCATTCCTGTGAGTGGAAATTCTCTTAATTTGTCATCCCTTCTGAGAATGGTTTCTAAGCAACATCGGTGACATATATTATGTCAAGCAAACTAGACAAAGCAAGGCCAAGTAGGCAAAGAAGAAAAATGGCCAAAGGTGCCAGGCTCCCTGAGGGCTTGCCTCAGACACCAAAGTGACAACATGGAAGCAGAAGGGGCTAGATGATCATGAGCTGCGGGTACTCTTCCTCTCACTGTCAGGGTAAGTAAGCAGTGACCTGAATCTAAAAGGGGCTTGTGGATTTGGGCTGTCCACGCGCCATGGAGGGCGAGGTCCTGGGAGAGGACGCGCTGCTGCGGAAGCTCAGGGACAGCCGCCGTCGCTTCCAGAGGCGCATGCAGCAGCTGATAGAGAAGCACAACCAGCCCTTCGAGGACGCCCCGGTGGTGCAGATGTCCACGCTGACCTATGAGACGCCCCAGGGATTGCGAATTTGGGGAGGAAGATTAATAAAGGAAAGAAATACAGGACAAATCCAGGGCTCCCCGGTGAAGACGGACGACAGGACAGATGGACCCATGCGAGTCCCAGCTGGAGGTCACGAGCTTCCCTTGCCCTGCACACAAGGTGAGGATTCAATAAGCAGTGATACTGATACAACTTTATTCCAAGAAGATGTGGTTGCTGGTAACTTGATGCCTGCAGTGCCCTGGAGCCCATTGAAAAATGAGCTAAGGAGGAAGTACTTGACACAAGTGGATATCCTGCTGCAGGATGAAGGGTGTTTGGAGTGTGCCAGTTACGGAGAGGGAAAGGACACCCGTGTGACTCTGGTTCCTTCATTGGCCTCGCCCGCCAGGCCTGCCAGAGGATACTACGGTGGCGTCTCTGAAGAGAGCCCCGGTGGCCCATTTCAGCCAACCTCATTGCCCAGAGAGGGTGATGCTTTGCACTCTTGCTCAGCAGGCCTGGCCCTGGTGCCGAGGGGTGATGGCATCTCCTTACAGGGAGGGACCGGTGGCAGCAGCTTCTCAAGCAGCCCATGCTCTGAGGCTGAGGACATCTGCAACGCAACACTCAGTGATCTGTACAAGGGCATGCTGCACTCCATGAGCTGCCTGCTGGGTGAGGCCCTCCTGCGTCATCTCCACCAAGACGTTCATCCGCCAGAACTGGAGCTCCAAGCGGAGGCACAGATGTAAGAGCAGAATGGACAGAACGAGCTGCAGAGGAGGCAGGCGCTCTCGGAGGAGCCCCCAGGAGAGACGTCCACCCGGCTCCGAACCTGCGAAGGACGTGGCAGTGTTAAGAGATCGCGAGAACGTACTCGATGTTTCTGGCCATAAGATGGGCTTAAAATTGGGAAGGGCTTTTCTTGAAGTAAACAAACCCCAGATCCACGCATTCGCTTCACATTGGAAGGAGCTTCCGAGAACGCCTCAGCAGCATCATTCTTCATTGACTTACTTAGACTCCAATGCAGTGTATCATCTTGATCAGGAAAATAGATTCATGACATTAAAGTGGTTGATTTCTCCTGTAAAAATAGGTTCTAGACCCAGAGAACCGCCGGGCGAGGGAGGGAATCGTTATAGGGAGATTGAAATCAGATTTGGCAAGCTTCATCAGGAATATTGCTCGAATCTTAGGAAGCAGCCCTGCCTGACTTACCTTCCCGGCTCCTCGGCTGTGGATGTGTACAGAGGTGGTCCAGCAAGCCCTGGTAGCCCCCAGGGTGTAGAAGCCCACAGGTCGAGTAGCCCTCTCCGCAGAGCAAAAGCTAAGAGGTTGAGTGAGGGTTTTGAAAGCCTGGGCAAAGGATCTATCAGAGAGGGTAGCTGCCCACCAAAGAGTGATTCCTTCCCTTCACTTTCAAAGACCGACTCCACATGTAGCCCGGGCCGCTCGGAGCAGACCTCTGACCTTGCTTGTCAAGGAAATGATCTGGGAGGATTTAGGAAGTCAGTATCACTCAACAAAGCCATTTCAGTACCCAGGGTACAACCTCCAGGCTGTGCCAGGGCTCGTTACGATGACATTAAAGAAAAATTTGACAAGCTTCATCAAAAGTATTGCCAAAAATCGCTTCAGCAGACTCAGGTGCCTTTATGTACCAAAGCATCTCCAGATAAAGCAAGTGTGGGAGTTCGGTATCAAAAAGAAGACTTCTCAGGAAAATTCCATCCAGACTCTGGCTCCCAGGCCCCCCAAACTTGTCACCATCACCCCAGCAGAGCATTAAAAGTCCCCTCGGCTCAAACACAATTAGGGCCCCTCCATCTACAGGTTTTGCTCTTGATGCCAGCTGGGGCCATCAAGTCCCCACAAAACGACGCCGACTATCAGACCCTCAGGTGTGCAGACGGTGGGCTGGACCCTGGGATTTCTCACCTGTGGGCAGAGCCATCCCGAGGCCTGGGGAAGAGGCTGGCTCTTTATAGGTCACCTGGGAAGAGAAGAAGAGGAAAGAACAGCACATCTTCCAGGATGGAAGAGAAAAGTGATTTCGTGTTAGAAAACCTCAAAGCTGAAAATCTATTGCCAAGTTATTCTGAAGTATTCCCTCTTGCCTCTCTGATTTTTGTGTATTTTTTTAAATTCTCAAGAATATGTGACAACTTGCTTTGCTTATCTGCCCTTCAAAGCAAATTTCTATGAAATTGGTTCCGTTGAGATGACTCTCTGGGTCCTTGGAAATTATTTGAATAAAGTTGACCAATTTAAAAAATAAATAAATAAATAATAAATAAATAAATAAAAGGGTCTTGTGGTAGCTGTACCGGCCAAATGAGTGACCTGGCCTTGCCTTGTTTTGTGCCTTTGACAAATTATGGAGGTGAGCAGAGAAAAACGTGAAGAATACTTATTTGATTAGACAATGAGTCAAAGCATGGACCTGGTATTTTTATGAAATATCAGTGCATAATATCTCTGAGTGGCAAGGCTGACTAACTCTCTGTGGTACCTTTGTGGAAATTTGGGAGTTTTACCCCTGAAAGGAAAATGAAACAGTGTTTATCTTTTCCTCACAGGCTGTGCTGGCTGGTATTATTCTGAGCAATGTCCTACCCTACCTTGAAACCATTTACAACTTACCCAATCTGTGGAGGCAGAACCAATATGACTGTGTGAGTGTAGATGTCCTGGGTGGGGTGGGAAGGACGGAGGGGAAGCCTGCAGAGAGGGGAAGAGAACAAACAAAAGAGATCAACCGGAAGGCACTGTCTGATGCCTAGTACTCTACTTTTGCTTTAAACAGGGAGTCAAGGTTATTGGTGCAGGGAAATACCCATTCCAACTATGCAAAGTTAAATAAAATGCAATTAATTAAGTAGCTGCAGTTACATACATATCTAGTAAAAAGGGTTTATCACACTTCGCATATTTGAATGACTTTTAATCCAGTTAATAGAAATACATTCCGGGATGGGAGACACAAATTCTAACAAGAGAAGGAGGTGTCTTTCCAGGAAGAGTAACTGATGGAGCGCTCTGCTTCTCTCTAGAGCACAAAACTAGAGGACATAAAGGGGAGACAGCAAGAAATAAAAGATGGCAGACATGATACAATGAGAGGAAAAGCACCCAGAAGAGGCAAAGAGATAGGAAGAGGGATCATTTTTGGATGCAGGTCCCTGAGAAGTTACGAGGGGAATGTTGTCCAGTGCACAGGTAGAGCTTCTAGTCTTAGGAGGAAGGATAGCCCTTCCAAGAGACCTGGAGAGAACGGGGGAAGGTTGAGTGCAGATACTAACAAGTGGCAGGTGGAGGGGGAAGTAAATACTTAAGGGAGTTTCAGCCTATCTTCTTTTTAAAATTTTTATTAGAGTATTATTGATTTACAATGTTGTGTTAGTTTCAGGTATACAGCAAAGTGAATCAGTTATACATATATCCACTCTTTTTTAGATTCTTCTCCCATATAGGCCATTACAGAGTATTGAGTAGAGTTCCCTGTGCTGCAGCAGGTTCTTATTAGTTATCTATTTTGTATATAGTAGTGTGTATATGTCAATCCCAGTCTTCCAATTTATCCCTCCCCCCTCAGCCTATCTTCTTTGTGAAAATGAAAGTCAACATCACTTGTTGAGAGTGATAGAGAAGGTGGTGGGATAGGGGCTTGAAAAGATTCCCAATAACTATCATAGCTCTTAAAATAGCAACCACTAATTTGGTGAGTGTTCTGGGTTGCTTCACAAATAATATTTCTAATCTCAATAAATCCTATAAATTAGATACTATTATTCCTATTTTTCACACGAGGAAACTGAAGTTTTAAGAGAGAATTAAAGAGAGAAGTGACCAAGGATGCATAAAAGAATTGCTAGGTAGCCCTGGGATCCAATCATTTGTGGTGGCCTCGGTTCATATGGCTGTGGAATTTGTTCTCTAAATCCTAGGTGTTGGGAGAGAAAGGGTAAAGGTGAGTTGAGAAAGAAGACTTGTGATTTTCTCAATTCTGCTTGTTATCACGGTCTTCCTTTTCCCTTCTTCCTCTTTTCCATAAGCTCATTTGGATGGTGACATTCACATCTGCAATTTTACTGGGACTGGACATTGGATTACTTGTTTCAGTAGCTTTTACCTTCTTCATCATCACTGTTCAGTCACACAGGTACTTTGTCTCAGGTAATAGGAGGTGGGCCATGGCAAGGTAAGGCAACTGTGACCTAAAGGCAAATGCATTTACTTTCAGAACTAAGATTCTCCTCCTGGGTCAGATCCCTAACACCAATATTTATAGAAGCTTCCATGACTATCAGGAGGTAAGAATCCAAATCCGCCCCACTCCTTTGCCCAAAGGATGGGGTGGACCAGGCCTGCTGCTTAGTTTTTCTATAAAACCCCTTTGCTCTTGTCTGCTGCACGGCAGATATGCATTTACAAAGGTGGGGAAAGCGATGCAGCCAGTTAAGGATAATTTTAAAATGTACTTCGGGGGAGGAAGGCCAAGAAAAAGAGAGGTGTGAGGAAATGGAGGGGAAAAGAAGAAAGCAGGAAAAGCACGGGATGAAAATGGGAGGAAGGAATTTGCTAGATCTTGCTTCTTATAAAGAATACAGATTCTCCAGGAGGTTCTAAGGATTATTTTTTCTTACTCCATAAAAGAGCTGAAAAATTTCCCTCAAGTTTACATTTATTTGTCTTGCAGGTTACAAACATTCCAGGGGTGAAGATCTTCCAGTGCTGCAACTCCATTACATTTGTCAATGTTCACTACCTAAAGCGCAAGCTGTTAGAGGGGGTGAAGGCTTTCCTCCCCAGCCTCTCTCCACCTGCTCCCCTCCCCTTCCCCGAGTATTCTCCCCTCCCCCACTCACCATCCGTATGAGACCCCCTCATATGCCTTTCAGGTTGAAATGGTAAAGGTGCCTCTTATAGAAGAAGAAATTTACAGCCTGTTTAATCAAAATGAAGATGGCCCCCAGCAAGGAAAGCTTTGTTGGTGTATCTGCAACTGTGATGAACCGGAGCCACCGCCCAGGGTTAGAAACATGTCTTCTTTTCTGCATTTTTCTCCACATTTTATAAAAAAGAAGTGCACTAGCAGTTTTTTAAAAAAAAAAAGAAAGAAAAGAAAAGAAAATCTAAACCCCCTCAGGGATTTTAACTCTTAGACGAACCATGAGTAATTGGAAATCAAAGATTTCTACTCAGAAATGGAGACACGGGTTCCCTTTCAGGTTCAGATCTTGCCCTGAAAGTAGGAGGCAGGGGGAGATGTCCTGACTCCTGATTCCCTTCTCAATGGCCAGCAACTTATCTGAGCACAGAGTACAGTCTGCCTGTTGACATTGTCAGTAGTTCCCTGGTTGTCCCTGTTTCCTTGACTTTTATCTTAGCTCCCTGGCTATCGATTTCTGAAAACAAGTGACTTAAAGATTGTTCTCTAACTGCAGCAGGGTCAAGGGCAGGCAGGGTCAAGGTGGCTGGGGTTCCCAAGGATCTGTCAGAGTCTCCTGATGTCTGCCTGTGACCAGGGAAATGATGATTTGGGGTGGAGGGCAGATAAGCAGACATGGGGATTTTACAGCATCTGAAGATTATTTTAGCGGATGAGTTACAGTGCTCATTAATTTCCAACTCACATTTGGTCTAAATATTCCCTTTCCCCAGGGCAGGGCTGTTTATTTCCAGCTTCAAGGCCTTTCATCCACACAAATACCCTGGAGGAGCAGCTCTATCTATACACACACACACACACACACACACACACACAAGAACATCTCCCATCGCCCTCCTCACCTACAATACCAAGCACCAACTCTCATTGCCATACACCCGAATGGAGCATAGGCTCTACTGAGCTCCTGGAAAATACCAACTTCCCTGCCAAGAGGACTGCTCTACTACTAGAATTAACTCTATCTCTAATTTTTATTTTGTATCCACACTGCACTGAGTATTATAGAGAGTATTTACAGGACATCAGAAAATACATTTTACAGTATAATATGATCTAGTATTTATTGATCTCATACTGTGTGCCTAGGACTATGACACTATGAAAAAGGAAAACAAATTTTTAGGGGCCTCTGTCTCCAGGTAGTTCTTTTTTCTTTTTCTCTTTAATTGTGGTATAAAGCGCATAACATAAAATCTATCATCTTAATCATTTTTAAGTGTACAGTTCAATAGTGTTAAATATATTCACATTGTTGTGCAATCATTACGACCATCTACCTTCAGAACTTTTTCACCTCGCAAAACTGGAACTCTGACCCATTAAACAACTCCCCATTTCCTCCTCCTCCCAGCCCCTGGCAGCCACTATTATACTTTCTGTTTCTGTGGCTTTGATTCTTCCAGATGCCTCATATAAGTGGAATCATACAGTATTTGTATTTTTGCAATTGGCTTATTTCACATAGCATAACATCCTCAAGGTTCATCCAGGTTGTTCTTTTTTTTTTTTTTTAATTTTTTCATGGAAAAATTTGAACATATACAAGAGTAGAGACAAGTATAATGAGCCTCTATGTACTCACCATCTACTTTAAGATTTATCACCTCGTATTCAATCTTATTTCATCTATATCCCTACCCACTTACAGCCCCTCAAAATCACAGAATTATTTTGAAGCAATTTATGGAATTTTAATTCAAACTGGGGAGGATTTTCTGGCAGTCCAGTGGTTAAGACTTGGTGCTTTCACTGCTGTGAGCCTGGGTTCAATCCCTGGTCAGGGAACTAAGATCCCACAAGCTGTGCAGTGCGGCCAAAAAAAAAAAAAAAATCAAACTGAGGAAACAGCTCTCTATTAATGTGACATTTAAGGCTATTATTGTATTTATCCATCCAAAAATATACATTTTTTTCACATCTCTGAAATTTAGATGCATTGTACAATTGATGGCATTATTATAGTTTAATTTGCAGTGTTTTGTTTGTTTCTTGACAGTACAAAAAGTAATGGTGCATCCTAAAACTGATGAAATAAGATGGTAAACCATACCATGCAGTATTGTTATGTTCTAAATCGTGTGTTTATATTCTAACCACTCTAAGACTTCAGTTAAAGAGATTGGCATGAACTCAAAAAGGCAGGGAAACTTCACGGTAGTAATGGACTTAAGCTGGGCAGGAGAGAGAAATTTGGATTTATGTCAGGTAGGAAAAAGAAGGATTCCCAGTCCATGAATAGGCTTGGACAAAGACACTGAGGTAAAAATAAGCATGGGATCCTCAGAGTAAGAGGCTTGGCCTGGGCAGTAAGTTCAGGCAGACCCTGCGGGAGTGGATTGTGAAAGCTCTTGAAAAGGTATAGAGTAGACAGAGAGTAAGGGGAGGCTCTCAGAGGTTTCTTCTGCCTGAAGGACCTTGTATCTCCCCAACACTGAGCCAGTGCTCAGCTGTCCCCCAAAGGCCTGCCCTCAGTGACTCTCAAGGCTTGGGGAGCACCTCTCTCCTTTGAACTGTAATATTATCATTTGTCCACACCACTTTTTTTTTAGCAATACAATATATACTACCTTGTTAGTTTTAATCTTTACATTTTTTCCTATTTTTAAAGTTTATTTCACAAGCAACATTATTAGAACAACAGATTTTTCTTAAAGAAACATCACCCCAAAGTATACACTCTAACAAATGAACTCTTTATTTTCCCACATGCCTTACAGTTCTTGTCCATTTAGGTTGTTATTCATCCTTCAAATGGACACGTGCCCTCTCCCCAGGTAGAATCTGGTCCCTGTGACTGCAGAGTCAGCATTCACATCTTTCATGCCATTGTATTCCCGGTGCTTGGTACTGTCCTTAAGCGACATAGGCCTATTAGGAGCATGAAAGGAGTGAAAGGTAAAGACAGCCACACTCAAGTACCTTTTGTCTCCGTAAGGCAGTGTGACAGAAGACATTTTCATTGATAAAAGAAGGAGGTGTTGAGAAAAGGGACTGATGGAAGAAATACTTCTAAGTTCTAGTAGGTGCAGGAGACTAATTAGAATCCAGGGATGAGGGAAAGGAATAAATCAAAGATGATTTAAAGTCTGGCTCACTAAGACAATGATAATGTCACTGATGCATGTGGGGAAGTTGGGAGGGGTGGCTCTGAGTGGTGAGGATCAGGAAAGATGAACGTGGTTTTAGTCACAAGCTGGAAGTGAAAGTGAGATATCTAAGGAAAAAAAGGTATAATGCATAGTCTGCGGAGTTTTCCAAGAGAGAGGGAAGTGAGTTAGTAGATAGAAACAGCATAGTTGCAAATGCTTCCAGGCTTGTTTGAGTCTTATCATAGTCCTCCCCTAACTCTGTCATCCCAGGTTGTTTACACAGAACGATTTGAAAGTAAACGGGGCCTCGACTCGTCCTCCATTAACCTGGTCCGCTGCTCACGTTTCAAAATCATGGACACAAGCCAGACTATGTCCGATGACCAAGTACCGTACGTAAAATCTTCCACATCCCAGAGAAATCCAAACTACAAGGAGGTGGAGAAAGTTCGGCTTTCTGATGACGCCTCTAGGAGCATGTTGATCACACTCCCTGATGCTTCTGAAACTCAGGTTGGGGGTAGAACACTCCTGCCTTACTCGACTTCATCTCTTTTACCCAGCATCCACACCATCATCCTGGACTTCTCCATGGTACATCTTGTGGATGCACAGGCTTTGGTCGTACTAAGACAGGTAAGTACTAAGGAGGCTTTCACAAGAACCCTGATCCCCTCCTACCACCACCATCCCAGCCCTGATCCTGATTGAATCCTGTTACTCACTGGTCAGCTGCTGTGACTCCTAGGCCACTAGGAACTTGAGCACCAAAGACAGTTTAAGGTCAACCAGAATAAAAAGAAAATGAAGCAACTCTGATTTACTAAACTAGGGTTGGTTCCCTAACCATGGCATATTATTTCTCAAGGACTGAAAGATAGGAAGCTCTTAACACCATTGAAACAGCAATCTGTGCCACACCCAGCAACTCCCAGCGTATCCTGGGAGTTAGCTACAAAAAATGTCAAGGAATAGGTTCAAATGCTACAGAAGAAAGTTCACAAGGAATTCTCCACTATTCAGCTGCTCCAAAAGGCACCCAGGTTTGAAGAAGTTGTGATGAAATGACACCCCAAGCATGGGGCCACCCGGTCCGGTACCTGTAAGGATCTTCCCCAGTTCCTTCTTCATTGCCTGCATCTTTGGGTGAAAAGGGCAGGAGAGATTTTTCCTTCAAAGCTATGTTCCCTGAGTCCTGGTTTCTCTCCCACTTTCTGGTTTCTCAGACAGATTTCATTTCTCTCCTTCTTGTACAATATGGACAGTTTAGGTGCATAACTAACCATATTGGCTTTATTATTTAATGTCTCATAAGTATGAGACATTAAAGACATATTTAATGTCTCAGTGTCTTTTTTTTTCAAGCCAGCTTATCTCAGTTTTTAGTCATCTGTCTCACTCTTGCTCCTGTTGGCGATGGCTCAGGTTTACACAACCTGAACCCACTCACTTCCTGGCTCTAACTGCACCCACATTTTTTTAAAAAATTTATTTAATTAATTTATTTTTGGCTGCGTTGGGTCTTTATTGCTGCGCGCAGGCTTTCTCTAGCTGCAGCGAGCAGGGGCTACTCTTTGTTGTGGTGCGTGGGCTTCTCATTGCGGTGGCTTCTCTTGTTGTGGAGCACGGGCTCTAGGCGCGCAGGCTTCAGTAGTTGTGGCACAGGCTCTAGAGCGCAGGCCCAGTAGTTATGGTGCACGGCCTTAGTTGCTCAGTGGCATGTGGGATCTTCCCGGACCAGGGCTTGAACCCGTGTCCCCTGCATTGGCAGGTGATTCTTAACCACTGTCCGTTCCCCCCGCAACCTTTTTTTGAGATATGCTCCTTTGGCTGACTTTCCTTCTTGTATCCTCATATTCCATTTTAACAAAATATTTATAACTGTTTTATCCTATGTCTTATTCCTAAGTGAATATGATTCTGTCTTAAGTGAGTCCAGCTCCTCTTTGGTCTAAGGCAATAGGAAGCTTGTCAGTGGTCTGTGGATGTGTGCTCTGTCCTGGCTTTACTACCACTCACTGTCCATCAGACCCGAGGTAACTTAATAAATTGCACTTGGCTTCCTCATCTATAAAATGAGAGACTTAGAAGAGACTTACATTAAGGTCTTTCCCATCCATGAGACCCTCTCCCCACCAGCACCCCACCCCCACTCCATTTGCAGGCTCAAATATACTTGATAATGTCTTATCTTTGGGACTTTTCCATCTTAGGTTGTACTACTGGGCTGTGTTCTCTTCTCCCAGTCTTACACTATAGCTGTAGCTTTAGCTTTCATTGACTACACTATCGAATGCCTCTTACGTGCCAGACTGAATTGAGCACATTTATATACACTATCTCATTTAGTTCTCACAACAGCCCTGAGAGACAAGCCCTATTTCCCCCTGAGTCCTGTGCTCGCAGCTAGGCAGGGGCCTGTCCAGCACTGGAACTTAAAGCCTCTGACATCATATCACTCTTCCCCCTGTTCTGTAGTATAATTGGGCCATCCTTTCCTCTCTCCTCTCGTCTTCCATTTTTTGGAGGCACCATATGTTCTGGTCCTTGGCATAACCCTTCCATCAACCTGGCCTACATTGATGACTTTCTCCTCCAGCCCCATCATTGAGGCAATGTCCGGCACCTTAACTTTGCAGGCTTCAGAGATTCACGGTACACCCTCACACTTTAAAAAGGCAGGTTTCCCCCCAGGTGTCTGGCTCTGTGTGTGTTCGGGTTTGGTTTGTAGCTTCTGTGGCCAGAGCATTTGAGAAGAATGATTTCTTTGACACTGGCATCACCAAGGCCCAGCTGTTCCTCACCCTCCACGACACTGTGCTGTTTGCTTTGTTGTATCCCACCTTGTTGGAGGAAGTCATTATGTTTTCTTTACTTTATAATTGAAAACTTGAACCCACTAAGAAAAATCCCAGTAGTTGTTCTTATTAGAGACAACCACTCCATTTAAGCTTCTTCTTAATTCACGATATTTCAATCTCCCATTGCTTGTCATTTAGAGTATGTCTATAGTGGCTCTTTACCAAATAACTTTATGATTTACTATATGATCAAGAATGACTTTCTTGTTTCCCCTTGGTAGTGAAAGAAGTAGAGTCTGTCTGTTTTGTTTCTTTTGACACTCCAACTTAGTGCCCAGGTTTGGAACCTGTTGAGTCTTAGAGTATTAAGGTGAATGGTGACTTCTTTTGAACTGAACGTTAAGATTTATAGCTCCAGAGCATATATATATATATATATATAGGCTGAAGTATATCCTTGGGGTCAGTGTCTGATGTTTTACTAAATTCAAATACAACTTTACAGAGCAGCACTGAATATGATCCTCAGGGTTCCTGAATACCATTCCCAACTATATCACTTGACCATCTCTGGGCCACATTTTGCCACCTCTGCTTTGTGGACTCCAGAGAGAAGGAGGTCACGTGCAAACACTAAGCAATAATACCAAGATATGATTGTTCATGAGGCCCGTCCAGTGTGTCCCCATCACACCTGTGCCTGTGTCTATCCCAGCACTGTCCTCATGTGAACATTTATCTCTTCATGTGAACTGTTTCCCCACTTAAGACCATGGGCAACCCTCCCTCTCACTCCCCACCCAAGACCATCTGATTCTCTTTTGTATTCTGGCACTTTAGGCACTTCCTGGCATAAAGCAGTTCACTCATCAAATGTTTACAGAGCTGAATGGGGTGGGGATGCAAAGGTACATATACCCCAGACAAGTGAATAACCAAAGAGGTTTTAAAACTCAGCTAATTAAAAGGCCCTTTCCTCTACTGAGTGTGAAGATCTCTAAAACTGGCTTACTCTCTCCCCACAGATGTTCAGTGCTTTCCAAAACGCCAACATCTTGGTGCTCATTGCAGGGTGTCACTGTGAGTATCTTTCATCTTATGAAGAGGGCTGTGTTTTGTATCCTGGATCCTCTCCTCTGCAGATGTCTGACCCTGTGTGTGTTCCCGGTTTGGTGTGTAGCTTCTGTGGTCAGGGCACTTGAGAAGAATGATTTCTTTGACGCTGGCATCACTAAGGGCCAGCTGTTCCTCACCCTCCACGATGCTGTGCTGTTTGCTTTGTCAAGGAAGTTGCCAGAGTCCTCCGAGTTAAGTGTGGACAAATCGGATACAGTGATACAAGAAGCCTACTCAGAAACAGACAAGGTTGGATGATGTGAAGCATCGGGGTGGGGAGTGGTGTGGTGGTGAGGTGGGAGGAGACACCTAATCAGATAGAGATGAGCAACGTCCAGGAAAGGTTTTTGAGTGTGGCTGTCCCAGAATTTGAAATGTTGAAAGGTTCCCTTACCAGTTGGTAAATAGCAGTAAACCTGAGTCCCAGGTTCCCACACTGCCATGGCATCTGGGTGTCATTCAGGATCCTTTCCCAACTGAAGAGGGGTTACCCAACCCAGCAGAGGCCTCAAGGATATTTTTACAGCAGGCTTGCTTAGTGCCAGTGCCATACCAATTAATAAATATTTTAAATATCTCCCTTAGCTATCCCTTTAGAATCCCCCCCACCACCACCCTTGTGATGGATAACAAAACTGATGAACTAGCAGACGTAAAGATCTGCCAGCCTAACTCTATGGCTAGAGCAAAACGTGGGAACTATAGACAGAGATAAAGCTAAAGAAGATAGCAGGAGGCCCGGTCATGAAGGACCTGCCGAGGATTACATTAGGGGGTTGGAAAGACAAGTAAAATCGAGAAGACATGATGTCCAGGAATGCTGACAAGACCGTTGTTATTTAAGTGGTTGACCATGAAATCCAGGCTGGCTAGAAAAACTAGAGAAATTGGAAGTTATGGATTGATTGAGCCTGAAGCATGGTAAGTAACTGAGGAATCAGAGGGTGCAAAGAAGATGAGAAGCAAATTTAGGCCAGAAATATTTTCTACTTTGCCAGGAACCCATGCTTTCTGGTACCTTAAGTCCTACTGTATTCTGAAATTCCTTGACTGTTCAAAAATTAAATCTAATTGGGAAGTTTTAACCCATCTAATTGTGTGTATTTCAGAAAGAAGAATCAAAACATAAAATGAGCAGCCGTCTTATAGAAGCCCCCAGAAGTAAAAGTCCAGCCTTCACCATACTCCAGGACCCAGTAACAGAGGAGGAATCAGAGCTAGACTTTGATCTGTATCCCACGCAGGAGTCAGAACAAGAGACTGGGCTAGATCCGGACCTAGACCTGGATCACGAGATGGAGCCTGAGTCAGAGCTGGAGCCTGAATGTGAGCTGGATCCAGAGACAGAGACCAAGCCTGAGCCCACATCCAGGCCAAGCTCTCAGCAGCAGTACTAGCCTCTGTATCAGTTTATAACTCCCCAGTCCCCACCTCAGACTCAGCCTAGGACACAGTCAGTAGAGAGGAAGCATCAGCTTATGAATTCATTTACATCCCAGAGCAACGCCAGTGAGGATACCTTGTAGCTGAGCTAGGAATAAGGGGTCAGATTCCCTCAGCAAATCCTCCCCCACCCAAATGTGGCCACTTGGTCTGGAGACGTAGGCTAGTTACAAACTAGCAGTACTTGCTTTGGGACTCCTCCACCTGTTGGCCTTCTTCCTTCCTCAGCGCTGGCATCTCACTCCCAGATCACAATACTAAACACCAAGAATTATCTCTGAATTCCTTATCCAGTTTCACTTCGTTTCACCTTCAGCAGATGTTCCACTGAAGGATTTCCTTCTTCACACCCCTCACCTCTGTGCTTTTATTTTTTTTCAGACCATCTCTAACTTATTCCTCTCATCTGTGTTCCCCTTTCTCTAAAGAGATGAGGCTCAAATAAAATACATAACTCTAGTTACATTTGGACCCTTCCTGCATCTTCTACCTTTTCTGTATTCTGTATGCCGAAGGAAATGTCAGGTGGAAGAAATTCCAGAAGTAGGTAGACACAGTGGGGAAGAGATGAGCATGAAAAAGAAAAACTGTGTAGCATTTGTACTTTATATGTTATCTTCGCTGCACTGCTGCAGTGGGAAATAGGGGGTAAATAGGTTAAGTTAGGCCAGGCTGGGACTTCCCTGGTGGTCCAGTGGTTAAGACTTTGCGTTTCCAATGCAGGGGCTGCGGGTTTGATCCCTGGTCGGGGAACTGAGATCCCAAATGTCATGCAGTGCGGCAAAAAAAAAAAAAAAAAAAAAAAAAAAAAAAAAAAAAAAAAAAGAAAGTTAGGCCAGCCTGTGAAGGCTTGTAGTACAAAGAACTGTTAGGCTAAAAGCACTTTTGCCATCACTCCAAGGTCAGCATCTTATCCTGACAGTGTTTCAGAAGGCCAATAAGCTGTACCACCCAATGAGAATGTTAGCTCTATAGAACTCCCCCTGTCTTCAGATTCACATTCACCGTTGCTTCTTTCTTATAGGTTTTTAAGATCCGGGCAATCTAGGATCTGTACTCTTGGTGGACCAAACAGTTAAAATCTGTGACAGACACAAACCCCTTAGGAACTGGAAAAGTCAATCAAATCACTAGTTTGGTCCAAATTCATTTAAAAAAATGTCCCCTCCTCCATTAAAAAAATTCTAGTATTAAGGTACAACCTGAAGAGAAATATAAACCCCTGGGCAAAGGCATTGGGAATACTGAATTTTATTTCCCACTCAGTAAACAAGATTCCCCTTGCTTAGAAAATCAATTTCTCTCACCTGTTAGATGAAAGAAATACTTCTTAAAATAAGTGTCTCTTATCACAGAGATAACAGGTGCATTTATTCATTCTACAAACATTTACTAAGCATCTGCTATATACACAGCACCCCAAACTCTGGGGTAAATAAAACAATATTATCCCTCCCTACTTTACACGTGCATAAAGTGAGACATAAATTTTGTAACTAGCCCAAGGTCATATACAATTGTAACCCTAAAAGAGGTGGGGGGCCCAAGTTACAAGCTTCATTTGTTCATGTTTACTCAACACATTTATTGAACTCCTACTATGTGCCAGCCACTGTCCCAGGTGCTGAAGACACAAAAATAAGCAAAATGATGACAAAGATAATTATAAATTGTGATAAGTACCTTGATGGTAAAATACAGGAAACAAAGAGGGCATACATCAGGAGGACCTGAACCTATCTTGGGTGTCAAGGAAACTCTTCCTATGGTAATGACAATGACCTTGCATCTGAAGGATGAGAAAGAGCTAGACTGAAAGTAGGTTCCAATGACGCTAGGAGGGCAGAACCAAACGGGGGACCAAGAGTGGTAACCATGGGTAAGTACAGAAGCTGGGCACCCAGGGACACAGCCAGATGGAGCCTAAGGGTGATTACCATGGCACCAAGGTCTCACCCAGAAACTGGTTCAAACCAGGCTGTCGGGGTGGCAGGAACAAGCACAGAAATGTTTCAAAACCAAGAAAACATTTCACATTTAAAACAGGAGACTAGGAAGTGCACAGAGAGCCGTTTCTGTGGGCTGCCGCCCTCTCACTCCAGCTCCCTTCCATTCCCACATTTCCATCAGAGGAAGGTATTTAAACACAGAACCAATGGCTTCTGACAGTCTGGTAGAGTTTAGACTTTGGACCTTTCTGTTATAACTGCAACATAGCTAAATCTTGATTTTCATGCATGACCTCAGATAGACCAACCTGATGCTTGGACTATAGCCTATTTTTAAAGCATATTCTTCATAAGTCCATAGCATCCATCCACTCCTGAAATAATAAGATGAAGAAAAATGGTCAATTGATTGTAAACAGTTCAGCATTAAAGAAAGGATAAAGTGAGTAACAATTCAAAGACTGAGTCTTCTTCCAAAATGCAGATTGCCTGAAATTCTAAGACGTTTCAAACTTTACAAAATGCCATGGTTTGGATTGGTTAGCTCACTTTTCATTGCATGGTCATCATTGCAGATTTTATATCTCTAATAAGAAATTGGGGAAAAATTTTAAAGACTAAAAAACTAGTATAGGCCAGATCTGAAAGAGTATTTTTCTCCATTACTGAAAAAATCTCAAAGTAGTTTATGTTCTACAGTAAATGGGTTATGGGGCATGATTTTCACATATAAGAAATTAAGTGAAATCAATACAACTGCAGAAAACTAGGTTTGGAAAAGAGATTGGTCAAAATAGGTGACCCTAGGTGCTGTCTCTAAATACTAATACATTAAATGTCACAAAGCCCAATGGATTGTAACTTGATCTTACCCATATCTGATTTAGATGACAGTTAGATGAGACTTTGGACTTAGACCTTTGAGTTGATTATATATGAGAAGGACATGAAGTTTGGGGAATCAGAGATGGAATATTATGGTCTAAATATTTGTGTCACCCAAAATTCACATGTTGAAATCCTAATCCCCAAGATAATGGTATTAGGAGATGGGGCCTTTGGGAGGTGATTAGGTCACTCTTAGAATTATTAGTGGGATCAGTGCCCTTATAAAAGAAGCCTCAGAGGGCTTCCCTGGTGGCGCAGTGGTTAAGAGTCCGCCTGCCGATGCAGGGGACGCAGGTTCGTGCCCCGGTCCGGGAAGATCCCACGTACCGTGGAACGGCTGGGCCCGTGAGCCATGGCTGCTGAGCCTGCGCGTCCGGAGCCTGTGCTCCACAACGGGAGAGGTCACAACAGTGAGAGGCCCACATACCGCAAAAA